TCTTTATGATTGGAATCTAAGGCACAAAACTCTTTCGATGTTAGAGATTGCCACACTTATTAGTAAAACCTAGTGCAAATATAGGTTTTGCAATAATATACTTTTGGGATGGGGGGTGTTAAAATGTACTACCTCCATCCCTAATTATAAGTCGCTTTGACTTTTTTGGTACATCCATTTTGCAATGTATCTAGATATAATATATGTCTAGATATATAACAAATTCTATGTGCCAAAAAAAATCAAAGTGACTTATAATTTAGAATGAAGAGAGAGAGAGAGAGAGTATTTCTTACTTTTCATTAGAATTACGTCCCATTTTGATCTACATGTGTTCTAAAAGTTATAAAAAAAAGAATGTGGGGACAATAACACATTTTAATAACACATACAAACTTAATGTGCGTCCATAGATCAATCAAATGTTATACATTCGAAGACTATGCCAAGTTTGAACGAATAATTCAAATGTCTGTATATATTATTATATATTCATAGTTAGTTAATGTTTTTTATTTATAATAATACGCAAGTGTTCTCGGAAAATTAGGAAAATTGGTCGGGGACCAAACCACATGCTTATAAAATCTTATTAAAACATTATTTTATTTTAAATTTTAAATGTATTTCTACTCTTTTATTGGAATATATGTGCTCTGAAATATATTGGAAAATGACTATTAAACAGTGACGGGCTGAAAGCCTGAAACAACCTAACCTCAGCCCAGTTTGCCAAAATTGATTGTTTAGCCCATTCAGGCCCAACTTCATCCACACCTCGCTATCATCATCCATCCAATCTACCCAACGGCCAAGATCAAATCCCTAGTGTATTTCCATATCCCTCTTCTTCTTCCTCCTCTTCACCTATCTCTCTGCTCCTCAGATGCGCGAGGACCTGCTGGCTGCTGCCGCACCCGGGCGAGCCCAAGCAATCCAACTGCGCGAGCTCGTATTGGCGAGGACCCCGGCTTGCGGGCTAGAGGGTCCTCTCCCTGGGCGGTTGCAGTGCATGTGATCCTTCCCTGGCCAGCGGCGTCGCTCGTGGCCAATGCGGCACGCGTCCGGGCTCTTGCCGGTCGCGGCACCTGGCCGTCCTCACTTGCCGGCGACGACGACTAGGTGAGCGGCTTCCCATTGACTAGGACTTTGGTGGCGCCCTACCGCATGCATCGGCGACTGCGTCAGACCCCAGGCGGCGGCCAGCAAATCCCCTCCGCAAGCGTCGCCCGAACGCGCCCCTCCTCCAGGCCGCGGTTAAATCCAGTACCCATCCAGAGTATCCAGAGCTCGAAGGTGCGACTGGCTTCCTCTCCGTCTCTCAGATTCATATGTGTGCAATGATTTCCTTAATAATAGGCCTCGGCTATCTTGTCTTCTCTGTGTGACGAAGTACGAAGGTTAGTCTTAGATAAAATTGAAGTTTAGAATTGTGTTTCCTGCAGCATGTACATACAGCAATATGAATTGCATAGTTGATTGGTCGGAATAATGAATAATGAGATGTGCCAAGTTGACTTATGAGAATAACTTTTGAGGCATATTTTAGTCTGACCTGCCAATCTTTTAGACTCTAGATCACAGCGCGTTTCCTAGTGCTTGTTTTGCTCTGAGTTTGTTTGTCTCTGCTGCCAAAGCTAATCTAATTGTTTCTTTTCACTATTTCTCCCAGGTGCTATGCACGCCTGCACCACAGGTGCCACAAGAAGTATGGCCATAGAAACCAGGTGAGCGTTGCTGTTGTAGTGCCAAATTCTTGTTTACTGTGTCTTACAGTAGTATTTGAGCGTATGATTTAGATCTGTAATCAACTTGATGCCAATCATCTCTAGACATGGAGATTAAAAATTAACTTTGGCACCAATCAAAATTCATGACATGTAGATTAGTAATCAAATTTAGCATCCTGAAGGAGGGTCGGACATCCTTAGAGGCAGTGGCGAAGCAAGGGGGAGGGGCTGGAGGGGGCTCAGCCTCCCCTAACTTTGATATTTTTCTATTATACCCTTTAATGAACTTACTAATCTACCATATAATTAAAGAGTGAATGGCCCCCCTATTGACATTTGCCAACCTAGACCTGAGTCCTGACCTCAACCCTGCCTGGAGGTGGTTACTTGTCGTTCGGAGGAGTCTTGAGAGCCCCTAGTGAGCTCAGTCGAAGAGCTAGCCTAAAGGAGGTCTCACTGGGCGTACTGCGCATTTGACGGAGGGGTCACCTGTAGATGCCCAAGCTGGGCCTAGGTAAACTGTGGAGCCCGAGTGGAAGGTCAGTGACGAGGAGGAGGCCAAGTGGGACAAGTCCCACGAAACCGTCCGGGCTACTTCTCACGAACTGGTACTTCTCAGGGAGCACCACACACTTGGCATGGACTGTGGAGAAAAGATGGAGAGGGCATTGGCCATGCTACCAAGTATATCAATTCTGTTCCATTACCAACTGGAATGGTCGAAACCTCTCATACCAGCGACCAAAACGGCACAAAACATCTTGAATCCTGTACTGGCTTCTCTATCTCAGCCAGTTCCAGCAGTTCCGGGCAATCTCAGCCATCCTGGGTGGAACTTTCAGTACCATTAATCCCTGTACCGGCCATGGCGGATGCTGTATCCCAAATCTAACTGCATCTCCATTCCAAATCTAAAAATCCAGAAATCAAAGTGGAAGCAATCAGATTTTAAGTAGGAATAAAGGCATCAAGAAACACTATTTCTTTCTCAACAAAGATTGAGTGGGGAATTTTCAGATCTGAGAAAATAAGAGGAAATTCATGGGAGGCAACATATGGACTGCAGGCCAGCAACAGCTCCAGCCTCCAAGCTCTGACCAACGGCAGCAGATCCTGAGCTCTCACGGTGCAACAGGGGTATGCTGAAGACGGCATGAGAGCCGCATCGAGTACAAAAAGTAGAGCTTTCTAGAGGCGCATGGAAAAACCTATTTCTAGAGGAGGTTGGAAACACTAGCCGTCTCTAGAAATGGGATCTCTAGATGCGGATGGCAATGTGACTCATCTCTAAAAATAGGTGCAGCAAAAAAAATTTATAACTTTTCCAAATCAAGTCAGATAAAGACAAATTTTTGAGATCTACAACTTTGTAGTTGATGACTTTTCCAATTTAAATCTTTTAGGGTCCTATAATATTATGATTTAAGTTCTCAGATTTTGAAATTCATTTTTTAGTTTTTTTTCAAACTATCTCGGATGGAGAGATTCCCTACACCAAACTTGTAGTGCTCAGCAAAATTTTGAAGTTTGCTGTTCAAACTTTTTTTCATTTGAAATTGTTTAGGGGTTGACATATTTAATGCAAACTCGTGAAAGTTAATAAAAAGAAAGCATCCTACTCTTAGTTATAAGTAACTCTGTGACATAGTGGTAGAGGAGGCTCGTGCACAGCTTAATGTATCGAGTTTGATCCCCATGAACTGCATGTGCAGTCTTCTCTTGGGATTAAAAAAAAAATTCTGCTAATTGTTTGGTTGATTTACAATTTTTGGTAAGCGATTTCTAAAAAAAGGCTACCTTACTGGCTGCCACCAGAAATTGATTTCTAATGACGTGGTAGTTACCAACTACCTCTAGAAATCGATTTCTAGTGACGGTAGATATCGATTCTAAGGTCAGTTGATTTCTTGAGACGCAACAAATATGGTTGACACATCTGCCTCTTGAAACTGATTAACTAAAGGGAAAATTGGTTCTATAGCACTGAAAGATCACGAAAATCGGAAAATACCACCGAAAAAACTCCGTTACATAAAATACCATCCAAAGAAAGAACTGTTACCTAAAAATAGCATTCCGTCATTTTCTGAGGTAATGGCGTCAGCACAGTGGATCTCCGTCCATCTAATAAAGGCAAAAAAAAAATCCATTCCAACCTCCGCTCATCTAAAGGCAAAAAAAAACAAATCGACTCCAAGGCCTGTCATCTCTCGAGGTCCCTCAGGCTCTCGCGTCCACGCACCAGGCTCTGGTGATCCGGTCCATTGCTGGATCATAGACTTTGGTGGCTAGAGGTATTTGCGAGTCGCGATCACGACATGTCAAGGCGAGGGCGGCTCCGGCGATTCCCAATTCGGCGGCTTCCTCGCGAGCGACGGCGGAGGCGGTCTTCTGCACTCGTGGTGCTTGGCACTACGGCAACTTGTGCTCGTGCGCTGCAGGCATGGCTTGCTTGCCGGTAGCAGCGGCGTTGCTCGCCAATTGCCGAGCGCACGGGATGGGAGAGGGTGGAGATGGCTGCCAGTGCCCAGACGACTTCTCCCATTCATGGGCATGGTGCCGGTGGCGCTCAGCTCCGGCCTTCCCGAGCGGCAGCGGCGATTGCCTTGGTGCCAACGACGCTCAGCTAGGGCCTCCGATGTGGCGTCGGCTTCGACACGCGTGGCGTGCTGACCACACTCGGCTCCGGTGCGGGGAGCTCCGGGCAGTAGGGTGGTGGCGGGCAGGTCCTGAGTGTCCGTGGCGTCGAGCTCCGGCGTCTGGCTGCTGCGGGCGGAGTCACGGGCTGGTGTAGCGCAGCTCCGGCGGCGGCGGCGGCTTCATTCGGCGAACCGGGGCGAGCTCGGCTCCGACGGCGTGGGGCGTCGGCGCTGGAGTGCTCGGCGGCATCGTCGGAGGCAAGAACAGGCGTCGGGCTTGAGCTTCGAGCTCCTTGGGACGAGGCTCTACCACTGCAGGCGGCCTGCCCAGGTTGATGCGACGTACAGGTTGTTCTCCACGTCCTCCCATGGCGTTTTTAGTCGAGTGGAGTCCTCGGACGGTTGCCAACAAACGGCGTTGACAACAAAAGTAACAAAGTGCTAGATCGCAGAACGGATACTCACTTTCAATGGTATTTTACGACACGATGAACTTTCAATGGTATTTTCCGAATCTCGTATTCTTTCGGTGCTATGAAACCAATTTTTCCTTAACTAAATATCATTGTGGCAATAGTGTAAGTTACATAAAATATTTGATGACATGACTTGATGAACCAAGAGGTTGGCTCTAGAGGACAGAGATCCAACAGTATGATCGCTGGTATGATAGCCACGAAAGGATGTAGGACAGCCTGTCTGCCACCATATTTTTATAGTAATTGGAATTAGTAACTGCCATGTTCTTGTTTTCGTCAATCTTAATCATCTCCCTTGAGAGCCATGTGAGGCGACCGTTACCAGCAGATCGTGTGAACTCGGGGCATTTGATGCACATCTGACTCAGCTTGTCTGCCACCATAGTCGTTTGACTGTAATTAGGATCAGTAATATTACTGGCGATTTGGACCGCTTCGACATGGGCAGTGTTCTCCATTACCTCCTCATATCCGTCGATTCCGTCCCTGACAACAAACACTTGACCTTCTAATAGCTTCTCCGCCCTGTCCAATGGATGCACCCACCTGACACAAACTTGGAAGCACTTGGAGAAATTGCCATGGTCGTCCTCATGAACATTATCCACATAGACGATGAAGTTCTTCACTGTGCCCGCACTGAGGGTACCAACCAAGATGGAAGATGATTTTTTGTTACCGCAGATGGAATACCTGAATGGGCCAGACTCAATGGTAGACAATGCTACATCGGAGGACGGGCTGCACATTATTTCAACCTTTGTATTGACGGCGATGGTGGAGGTCATTCTGTTGATGCAGGATGTAAAGGCTTCAGTGATCTCATTGCGATCATCGTTTATGATATTGTAGATGCCATTGAAGCTGCTAGCGATGTGGTACATTGCCCTGGTGTTGTGCATGCCATAGAAGCCGAAGGCATGCACAGTGTGCTTGGAGCTCAGATTTTCCATGCATATGGAGTCATCATCACTGTCAGAAATGACGATAATGAAACCCTGCCGGTCTTTCTCCTCTCCTTGCCTGTCATCCAATATCTACTCCGATGCATGAACAAACACAAATGAGTTAATGGTTTCAGGATGAAACAAAAACCATGAAGAGACATATGCATCGGTTTGCATCACATAGCAAGCCACTATATGGTAACCAGATTTAGGTTATATGGGCAGGATCACTGAGCATCTCAAAGAGTTTGGTTTGGACCCCCACCCCACCCCCCACACACAAAAAAAGTGTTTTAGGAACCTTTCAAACACTATTGGGGGTATAGAGGAAAGGCCCTCCAACAGTTTTCTATTCTTATTTGTAAAAGAAAATCAAATCCAGATCTATGTTGCCAGTCTGCTTCATCCACAGTTGTAGCCGGCCTGCAGCCAGCCTGTTGTCTTCCGCGACCGGCCGTAGCCTGGTGACGGCAAGGGCAGCCAAGTTTGGACCCAAAAGAGCGATTGGAGGGCAAGAACGCACGGAAAGATGAGGAATTAATCAAGAGATTTAGAAAGCATTGGAAAGACTGGCGGTGCAGATTGGGAGTTGTTAGAGGGCTGGTTTTTGTTTTTTTGTTCAATTTAGGGAGTATTTTTAAAAGAGCCCCTGAGATGCTTATGGCATTGTATACCTAGTTTTAATGGCGTGGTGCTAGGCGAAAAATCAAATTTCAGGAAGGTATCAATTAAGGGGCCGTTCTGCTGCTCACAATTTCAGCCAGAATTCACTGTACGCCGATGAAAAACACTGTTCACACTCTCACAAATTCCTCAAGATTCATCCAGATTCCTCCAAATTCCTCCAAGCGAACAGGGTATAATTGATTCTCTTACTTTTAAACTATACCATTATATATATAGTACTGCTATCTCCTGGTGTTTCATGTCCAAAATCATTGTACAATAAAAGTTATCTTCCAGCATACCTTCTTGGCATCCATCAATGCCTTCTGCAGCGTCTTGGTGCTGCCACCAACATCAGGCGAATGCGCAGTCATGGAGGCTGTGCCTTGGCTTCTGGCCGACATTGCGATGGGGGTGGATGAGCTGGGAGCAGAGTGGAGGCAATCCCTTATGAGCCTCATGGTCTTTTTTGGCTGTTTCCTCCAGTGCAATGCGGTGAAACTTTCATCTGTCTAAAAGAAAGTTGTCTGATTCTAAAACATGGCATAGCATGGATATAGAGCACCTAATCCTTCATTTATGGAAAATTTCCAATGAAAACATATATACTATGCTAAGTGAAATTGTAATAGAATTCTGGCCTTGCATCATGTAATACCTGCACAGTGGCTTTGTTGTAAGTCAAGGGCATCGACAGCTGCTGCACCTTGTTGGAGGTCTCGCTCTCGAAGAGGTCAGTTGCAGGCTCAGCGAGAGAGGATTTGACGGATATGATGGCAAGGCGGTCATTGATGTTAAGCTTATTCTTGACGAGCGCCATGGCCTTGGCAAGCAGGTCCAGCCTTTTGTTTGTGTTCTCCATCGCCTTTTTCACATCTTTCTCCAGTTCTGTTGCCTGGACGTGTAGTTTGTCCTCTTCCTTGGCCACAGTGTTCATCTCCTGCCTTTTCTGAGTAATTTCGGACTCTATCTTGCGTCTTTTCTGATTAATTTGGTCCTCTATCTCTTGCTCTTTACTTTTCTGAGTAATTTGGTCCTTCATCTCTTTACTTTTCTGAGTAATTTGGTCCACCTCTTGCCTTTGAGTAATTTGGTCATCCTTCATCTCCTGCCCATTCTGAGTAATTTGGTCCTTCATCTCTTTCCCTTCCTGAGTAATTTGGTCCGACTCTTGCTTTCTCTGAGTAATTTGGTCATCCTTCATCTCCTGCCCTTTCTGAGTAATTTGGTCCTTCATCTCTTTCCCTTTCTGAGTAATATGGTCTGCCTCTTGCCTTCTCAGAGTAATTTGGTCATCCTTCATATCCTGCCCTTTCTGAGTATTTTGGTCCTTCATCTCTTTCCCTTTCTGAGTAATTTGGTCTGCCTCTTGCCTTCTCTGAGTAATTTGGTCATCCTTCATCTCCTGCTCTTTCTGAGTAATTTGGTCATCCTTCATCTCTTTCCCTTTCAGAGTAGTTTGGTCCGCCTCTTGTCTTCTCTGAGTATTTTGGTCATCCTTCATATCCTGCCCTTTCTGAGTATTTTGGTCTTTCATCTTGAGCGTTTACAATCTCCCCGTAGTGCAGGTCCTTCCATGTCCTGTGACGCCCGAACCGCGATCCGGAACGCTCGTTCCCGGGACACGGATCTCGGCTACGTACCCCGATCCCTGTGACTGTGGTCCTGTCACTCTGATACAGCAAGGCACATGTCCAGGTGGATCCGATTGCCCTCACCATTGATGCCAGCTCCAGGAGCAAGGCCCCAACCAACAAGACGTGGGTGATGGCTATGTCTTTCCTGTTGTGCCCATGCCCATGCCCAGCGTCGCTGCCGCTGCTGCTGCTGAGCTGAAACAGCAAGAACGCAGCCACCGTGGCCACCAAAGCGATGACACGGATGCAGCATCCGTACCATGTGTGTATCACAACCGCCTTGGTGTAGAGGATGTCATACATCAGGGACAGCTCCATCTCCATCAGCTTGTCGAGGTGGCCATAGATTTGGAAAGACCGCATGGCTTCACGCAGCCACTGGCGCCGCCCTCTCTGCATGCCGATGAATAACCCCATGCAAACCTCCAGCAGGCCATGGGCTCCCATCAGAATGGTCTCCTCGTCCATCCTGAACCTTCGATCCATAGCATGATCCAGAAGCTCATTGCTTCTGGATTCGCGAGAGCTGGCGTCCAGTTCGTCAAGGGAGTTCCAGATGCTGTCAAAACTGGCGGACCGGAGCGCCAGTATCCTCTCCCCATACTTGAGGATGCCCACCGTAAAGATGAGCACGGCGGCCACCATGAGCAGGATGTCGTCGCCGAGCGTGTACTTGTAGAGAACATAGGAAACCCCTAACACCTGCACCACAAGAGTCTGCAGGTGGCACAGCCAGAGCCTGTTGTCCTCGAAGGAGTAGGCGCTGATGGTGTCCTGACCCCCAAGATGTACCAGGAGGAACGGTGCCCAGAACGCCATGAGCCGCTGCTCGTCCTGTGACCGGCTGCTGATGGCCATGTGGCCCAGTGTGAACAGTGCAGTGGAGTCCGCCAGCTGGTACGCCAGCCACAGGAAGAATCTTGGCAGGATGGAGACGTTGTGCCGACGGATGGAAGCAAACATGAGAAGGAAAACTTGCAGGGAGAAGCTGAAAAGAACCAGGACTTGCACCCCCCATTCATTACGAAGGTCCACCAACAGCCTGCCCATTTTTCTAGTTTCCCACTGAAATAGTACGATTGTGAATACAGTTTGGTGCTCTATTTATGACGAGGGGACATGTCAAAAACCATAAATAATAATAATATAAGGGAGTAACTATATTTCAAGTGTCTAATTCTTTAGAAAATTTTCATGCTGCAATAATGTACACAAGGTCACAAGCAACTAGTAGAGCTAAAAGTACAACTCGTCAGAGACTATTTATAATTTTTTCTATAGTCAAATAATAGTAAAATTATATATTGTCTGAACAAAAAAAAAAATAGACACCTGAGAGATCATCCAAGAGAAAGGTAAAAGAACTTAATCCAGCGGCTCAGATGTACATTATGTTGTTTGGTTGCGGCTCATACTATACTACTCTATATAAGACTATAACCAACGCAAAAAATAAAGGAAATTAATTTGCAGAACACTTATCAATAAAATAGCCTTTAGGGGAAAAAAGAGACCTACTAGTTAAGAATAAAAAAATGCAAACAAGAATGAAATTAATCCACTCAACCTTTCGCAAATACTGAATATATAAAATCTGGCAACGAATTGTAGCTCAAATTCCCACCGGCAATGGAACTTTGGTGACTGAATGATATACGCTAAGACTATAGGTGACTGAAAACTAGCAAAACCCTGAATACATGGAGTTTCTTCATGGTTGACGAGACCCTTGACATCATCGAGATGCTCTAGGATTGCATCACTTGCATCATTCCGCAATTATGGATACATATATAACGCATATATATTCTTGAAAAAAAGTTATAGAAACAAATGCATTCAATCAAGATATATAGACCATGCAGATACTTGGTAGATATATGATAGCATATCATTCAAAGGGTAGGGCAGTGGGTGTACCTCAATCCAGGAAAGAAACAAATTGCAGAGTACAGCAGTACGAACGACCTAAGATTTTGGAAATCTGGTTCGATAGTGCTCCTGAACGATCGCTTAGTTGTAACTCTGGCTTGGTATGGATCGTCACAAAAGAACTTCTTGTTGGCCCCCATCGGAAGTTGTAGCTTCGATTGCCTTTTGTTACCCTCTATCCAAGGAAGGCATCATTTGGCTTTCCAGATTGTCCCAAGTTATTCGAAGCGTGTTAACGTTAGAAGTAACGATGATACATTATCAGTTTTTAAAAGCTGGGGTTTGCAGTTGCAGGTGAACATGTTTGTATGTTTATATTATTTTATTTTGCTCTCTATATATAGGAAGAGTAAAATGTACATATGGGCCCCGTTCGCTTCGCTGAAAAAACAAGCCGAAATACTGTCACGCCTGATTTGTTGTGAGAGAAAATACTATTCCGCCTGAAAAAACAAGCTCAAAAGTACGTATTATAAGACAAACGAACAGGACCATGATCATTGGGGTCACCAAGCACGGCACCGGCTGTGCTAGGCATGGCCAGTGACAACCAAGCACAACATGTCGCACCCTCGTGCCGTGCCTCTAAGGGCCACGAGCCTGACCAGATTAGTGGCCTAGGCATAGCACTATGGGTCATTCACTACTAAAAATGGATTTATAGCAACACATCCTATTTTTAGGGGTAGCTCTATATTGAGCGGCTCCTACAAATCCGTGGCTGACCAGTGGGGGCCTCACAAGATTTAAAAAATTCCTATTTTTTGGTCTGGATTTGTGTACAAATCCGTGGCTGACCAGTGGGGGCCTCACCAGATTTAAAAAAAATCCTATTTTTTTCCCGGATTTGTGAACTTTTTAAAACGGATTTGTAGGAGTGGTTGTAGAGGTTATAACCCCGGGTACCCACGGCAAGGGTCATGGGTCGAACCGTCAGGGACAGTTCAGCCCACGAAATCAAGACTTACGGCGCATGCCACTGGTCGGCGTACACCGTAAGGCATCTAGAAGATATGATTTATTAGGACTCTTTTAGATATTGTAATCCAAATAGATTACCTACCATATAACCGATTATGATACTTTCCTTGTAACCCTACCCCTACAAAGTATATAAGGAGAGGCAGGGCTCCCCTAGCTGGCACCGAGATACAAATCCCGGGCTTAGCCTAGGATCTCATATTCCAACAATACAAACTAACAGAACACAGGACATAGGGTTTTATATCATCTTGACGGTCTGAACCTATATAAATCTTGTGTCTTGTGTCTTTGTTACCATCTAGTTCCTGATCACGCACACCTCTACAAAACAATCTACCATCGTGGGCATACCCCTCGTTGGACTGCCGACGATATTTAGTCGATAGTGGCTCAATATCTAGCCGCCCCTACAAATAGTGAGACACCCCTACAAATCAGATTTGTAGGGGCAGTTCACCAATCGCCCCTACAAACCATCCTGGACCGCCCCTACAAATCGCTACTGGCGTAGTGGTTTTTCAGTCGGGCTAGCCTAGGGAGCACAGCCAGCTTAGCAGGCCATGCCAAACCCCACAATATGCTCCTCCCAGAAAACCCAAAATAAAAATCAACAATTCTCATTCATTTACAGATTCATTCATTCACAGATTCTCAATTCAATTCAAAGATCATAGATTCATTCAGCAATGAATATATATACAGATTCATTCATTCACAGATGACAGATCACAGATGAACATAGCACTTGAATCACTTCAAGTAGAAGTCTTGAAGCAACCAAGAAGGCAAGAATGTCAACAAGACCCCAAGACTTGAATCAAAAGTTCAGACCAACCAAGCAGCAGTAGGCAATAGATCAAACAATGCAAAAGGTGATAGTTGAGTTGTTTAGTGCAATGCTGCCTCATCTACACAAAAGATGCAGTAGACGATGAAGTAGTGGCAGAGACAAGGGAAGAGCCAACAACACCTGTTCCACGACCTTCAAAAATTTTCCCCATGCCTATTTTTTCTTACCTGTAAGAGGACGGTCGTGCATTCCTCTGAGACCTAGCTGCACCAAACTTGTTTTTATATTTTTGAATAGCTTATAAAATTCAGTTTTCACCTCAGCGTAGTATGAACTATAATTAGTACTAGTACATGCATCAACCAGTTGCAGAACATTAAAGAAACCTCTCATATTAGCTCTAAGAATGAATGCGTATGAATATAACATTGACATATCCTGCCAGTAGGAATTTAAGCTTCATATGAAAAACATTTCTTAGATTTTGATCATTTTCATAAGCATGCAAATAAGAAGCAGTCTCTAGAATATGATGCACAACAAGTGAACTTGTGGGGTTAATAAAAACCAGATAGAACAACAATAGAGTCATAGAACTCCAATATCTTCTGAGCAACATACCAATGAATTTCAGACGATAGTTGTGAGCTGTAATGAGAATTAATGAACACAAAAAAATGCTCCTATATGAAATCAAGTTAGCATAAGGTATGTTGCATTCCATCTAACATCCATATCCCAACCAACCTTTCGGGAGCGAACACCCTTGGCAATGCAATAGTTCTTGAACAAAGCAATATATGCTGATTAGAGGAATTTAAGAAGTTAATTGCAGTTCTAAAATCGTCTATGAAAGACTTCAATCTCTTCAAGTTAGATTCTACAATTACATTAATGGTATGACAAGCACAATGTTCATGCACAAGACAATATCTACAGGTCTGAGGATCAAAAGGATCATGTGAAGGATTAGACCCAAGTAACTAGCAAACATAGGTGTCAAAGTGTTCATGGCAGATGAATTAGGAGAAGCTTGTTTATAGTGATAGAGAAAATCTTGTGAACAAGACCATACTCCTCAACTACAACAGTATATTAATATCCAGAATGTGGTACCTCAATTAGCATAAGACCAATAACTCTTTTATGTAACTCCCTATCAACATTGAGAAAGTGAGCAGCAACACTAATGTATTCCTCCTTAGCTTTACCAAACCAAATGTCTAAAGTCAAAAGCAACAGAAGAAATAACAAATCAAGATAGAATATTTAAGCACATCACGACATTCAGTAAACAAGTTATCAAGATCTCTGATAGTGTTCTGCCTAGACACACTAACCTAGAATTATGAGCCTGAGTGATAGGATGTAGTCCTCCCAAACCTCTATCTCACCTACACCTAATGGAAGATCAAGACTAGCAAACAACCGACACAACTCAGATCGAGCCACAGTAGGTTTATAATCCCAATTATGAACAGAACCATCAGGATTCAAAGAAATCCTAGACTGAACCTTAGTAGATTGATCAGCCTTTCTCTTATAAAATTTCTGATGCCTAAGCAAATGGCTAGTGCCAGCAAAGTTGTAGCAGACAATTCATGCTTACAGAACTTGCAAATAACAACATATCAAACATGTTTACCATTCATAACCTCAAACACCTCATCAGAGTCCTCCCAGACACTACATCTAGGATGCTTACCAATGGATGAAAGCAATGTGTCCATCTGTGCTATTGGAGCCAATTGGCATCCCTATCCCGGCCATCGCCCCATCACCATTGTTGTCCAGATCGATTGGAGTAGAACCTCTACTGATGTTGATTCCAAACAAGGCAGCAGTGTCCTCACAGACATCGTCATCATCCTAGGGGACAAGACCTGTCGCAATGAAGTCTTCATTGCTGGTGATAGGATAGACGATATCATCATTATGCACCATGGTGTTGACGGTAGTTAACACTCATCATAAACCATCAATATAACTCGTATAAATGCATAAAAAGGATCGTCAACATAGGTCTAGAGGTTTAAACTAATAAATTCCACAAGTTTTGGTGAATATGTGAATATAGGAGGATTTATCTAGAAAACAAGCAAGGTGGACCCAATTGTCAGATCAAATCACGTTTATCCATGACAAAACTGACTTAGGAAGACTCTAGAAGCATCCAGAAGACAACTCACCAAAGATCGAGCCAAGAGGCTGATAGGTGGGGCCAGCCTGTGGGTCCCATAGGTCAGCCCTTCCTTCGTACGTCGGTTCCCCACTGCCTTAGAGATCAAATCTACGTTGTTGCTCAAGGTCAGTTTGATCCAAGGGTCCAGGATTGACGTTGCCT